TGGTAATGGTCAGGGTTAGGTATGTACTGGTAATGGTCAGGGTTAGGTTATAGAAATTAATGAAAAATTAATGGAAGTCGATGCAAAGTCCCTGTAAAGATAGCAAGACAGACCTGTTTGTGCGTGTGTGTGTGTGTGTAGGTTACAGAATGAAGATCCTCTGCCTGAAGGTTGGGAAATTCGTTACACAAGAGAAGGAGTTCGCTACTTTGTGGACCACAACACAAGAACCACCACCTTCAGTGACCCCCGCACTGGAAAGTCCTCGGTGTAAGGCCCCCCTCCTTTGACTTCTTGCTGTTTGTGCTTGTTGACAAGTTCACCTTGTAAAACATCAGACTGATGTCTGCAGTCTGTAAACACGAGTTGTTCCTGTACGGCAGGAGAGCAGCTTTCATTTAAAAGTTAATCAAGAACGTGATAAATCTTCCCAGCAGGCTTTTATTTGTTAATTGGAGCGTTAAGCAGGAAATATGATTTTCTTATAAACAGTGTTTAATGTGAGCTGGGTCCTGCCTGAACAAGACCCAGGAACTCTTATTTTGACAGGGTGTGTTCCTTTAACTGCTTCTTGGATCCGGTAACTCTCAGGCCTAATAATAATAAAGTTATTAACAAATCCGACTGCCTTGAACAAATCAAACCTATACTGGATATGTAATCTGAAAATAATTACATAAACACTCATTTTAAACACAACAGCCTCTTACGAGCTTCCTAATATCACATCAGAGCTGCTCCTTCAAGTAAGCATTTCTGCTTCTACCATGAAAAAAATCTCCGCCCCTAAAAGTTCAGTCATGGACAATTTAATTAAAAACACAAAATGTAATTAAACAGCACAACTAAATTGCAAATCAGTTTTACATTTTAAGTGGGTCATTAATAAAATTTGGATTTATTAATATGAGAGGAATGTTTGATGTGTAGTCACGTGACGTTCATCATGTATCAAACCAACGGCGCCAATTTGTCAAAATAACTGAACAAGTTGTTGAAAAATCCAATTTACTTTAATTTTAAGAAAGACTTCTGTACTGAGACACGGGGCAAGGTGCGGAGCAGGACGGCGGATGAGGAGGCGCACCTGGCCGCGGTGTGGATATACTAAACCAGTGGTTCCCAACCATGGACCTTGAGGAACACCATCTTGCATATTTTAATTGTTTACCTGCTTTGACACACTTGATTTGAATCAGTGGGTGACTAACAGGCTTCCGTAGAACTTGATGACGTAATTAAATCACTGAATCAGGTGTGTTGGAGCAGGAAACAACTGATATGCAGGATGGTGTTCCTCAAGGACCAGTGTTGGGAACCACTCACTGTACTAAACAACTAGTAAAATAAGAAATGATCCTGCACTTAATAAGCTACACTTATAAATTTATAAATATATATAAAGCATCTAAAAGTAAATTATAAATATGAATTGGTTTGGTATTTTGACTTTGTGCGCCCGAGCGTTGTGTTTGGTGTTCCGGTATCAGTGTTGACCTCAGTGAACCCTGGTCTTACACTGCTATTTGTGTTCCAGCATCGCTTGGTTTACAAATTAAGCACTGCTTATAACTGTGAAAAACATTTACATATTTTAAATTTGCATGTTTTTCCTGTGTGCCAGACACAGTTGGGATTAATTAATTTTTAAAGTCGTCTTTAATCTTTGTTCTTCTCAGCACCAAAGGCCCACAGATTGCATATGAGCGCAGCTTCAGATGGAAGCTTGCACATTTCCGTTACCTGTGCCAGGTGAGTATTTATTTATTTATTTACTGTCCCTTCTACTCCTCGTCCTCATGTTGTTCTGTCCACCCTCAGTCCAACGCTCTCCCCAGTCATGTGAAGATCACCGTCTCCAGACAGACGCTCTTTGAAGACTCCTTTCAGCAGGTGAGAGCAGACCAACAAAAACAAACACAGGTGTTGTTTTCCAGAGGCACCACAGCGTACAGAGTGATGTCAGCGTTTCTCTGGTGTGGTCTGCTGCTTGTTTTAGATTATGGCTCTGAAACCATACGACCTGCGGAGAAGGCTCTACGTCATCTTCAGAGGCGAGGAGGGTCTGGACTACGGTGGCCTGGCTCGGTAATCAAAACCTTCATGAATAGGATAAGAAAAGATTCCAAAATTAGACCAGATCAATAAATCATCTCATCTTTCCTTGTTTTTTCTTTCTTTTCCTTCCTGTCTTTTATTGTTTTATTCCGTCTTTCCAGAGAGTGGTTCTTCCTGTTGTCTCACGAAGTGCTCAACCCCATGTACTGTCTGTTTGAGTACGCCGGGAAGAGCAACTACTGTCTGCAGATCAACCCGGCGTCGGCCATCAACCCCGACCACCTGTCCTACTTCTGCTTCATAGGCCGCTTCATTGCAATGGCACGTCCACACGAGAGCTCAGCATCACAGATCTCCTTATCTATCATTCATCCATCTACCCCATCCCTCCCTCCACTTGTTCTGAGGTCCAGACATCTCCTTCCACAGCCACCTCTTCCAGCTCTTCTGGGAGGACTCCAGTGTTCCCAGGCCAACTAAGAGTCGTAGTCTCTCAGTTGGCCTGGGTCTCCTTAATGCAGTGAAATATTCAGAATAAGAAGAACCGATTCGACTCGCTAAAAACAAACATGTAATACTAAAGCATTCAATAAGGGTACAAAATAAAATACCAAAACATGAAAAACAAATATAATATTTACAAGGTCCAAAAGAAATATAGTAAACAACAACATGGTATAGAGTAGTATAAATAAATATTTCACAGGTAGTAATATTAGCTAAAATGCACATGATATATCTTGCACATAACATAAACTACAGGTTGTGTGACATAGAGATGAATTATGATGCTGTTTTTACTAGATTAAAATGAGTCAATTTAAATTTGGTAGTGATACATGATACAGCCACACAGTGCAGCAGCAATAAACATATTAGGTGTCACAGATGTGGCTTGGTGCAATGTCTTTGTGAACAGCTCAGTAATGTGACAGTTGTTGGTTATAACTGAGTGTTACTGTGCATGATGGGAGGCTCCTGTATCGTCTGCCTGAGGGTAGTAGATGGAAGAGTCTTTGTGCTGGGTGGGTGTGGTCCTTAATGGGTGAGGGTAGGAACGTAGACTGACTGGTAAACAAAGAGCTTTGTTTAACAGCTCAGCTCCTTCTTCACCACAACAGACTGGTACAGAGTCCACAATACTGCAGACGCTGCACCAATCCATCTGTCAGTCTCATGCTCCATTCTTCCCTCACTCATGAACAAAACCCTGAGATACTTGAACTCCTCCACTTGAGGCAGAACCTCACCCTCGACCTGAAGAGAACAATCCACCCTTTTCCAGTTGAGGACCGTGGCCTCAGATTTGGAGGTGCTGGTTCTCATCCCAGCTGCTTCACACTCGGTTGTGAACCTCTCCAGTGAGAGCTGGAGATCACGGCACGATGACGCCAACAGGACCACATCGTCTTCAAAGAGCAGAGATGAATCCTGAGTCCACAGAACCAGAATCCCCTCCACCCCCTGGCTGCACCGAGACATTCTGTCCATAAACGTTATGAACAGAATCAGTGACAACAGGCAGCCCTAGAGGAGTCCAGCAGAGTTCTGCTCATATCTTGTTTTATACATGTGCTGTTCAACCATCGTAGACGTTCATACGTTTGTTGCTCTGAGAAATATTTGTAAAGCACGGCAAGTCATCGTTTAGAAATCATTAGAAGCCAAAAGTCTTTTGCTCCGGCATCATTACATTTAGTCATTAAGTTGATTAAATGTTTACATAGTCTCTTCTGTTAATCTTGTTTTTTTCTGGGATAAATCACATCTTCACATACACGTAGTTACAGAAGGATAATAATAGGAACTGTGTTAAACAATGTTCTGTCCATTTTTCCCCTGCAGGCACTTTTCCATGGAAAATTCATCGACACAGGCTTCTCTTTGCCTTTCTACAAACGCATGCTGAACAAGAAGCTGATCCTGAAGGACCTGGAATCTATTGACCCCGAGTTTTATAACTCACTCATATGGATCAGGTACTGACTGGTTTTCTAACTCACTCATATGGATCAGGTACTGACTGGTTTTATAACTCACTCATATGGCTCAGGTAATAACGGGTCTGAAAAACACCTGTTTTCTGTTGAACCCCGGGGGAACAGGTGAACCTTTACAAGCTGCTTTGTTTTATTCTCGTCTCTAAGAGTTTGAAAATTTTGTCAACTTTATATGAAAATAGAAGCAAAGAATATGCAGAGCCTGAATCTGTGTGAACAGCCCAAAGACAGCGTGAAATGATGAGACCCAGACTAAAAGCCAATTCTCTCAACTCGTCTGCTTGTCCTGCAGTATTGTTCTTATGTAGGACAAAATTAAAGGACTGCCAGCTCAAACAAGAGAAACAGAATGACAGTAAAACTGCTCCGTTATTGGATAACTACATCCAGTGGTTAATTTGAGCTGGATCCTGCTGGAACAAGATCCAGGAACTCCCTCATTCTGACAGACTCTGTTCTGGCAACTATTTGGCCGGATCCGGCAAATCTCTGCCCCTAAAAGTTCAAAGTCATCGCACATTTTTATTTTAATTATTTATGAAAAATACAAAAAGAGGAGACGTTGCCCAATCTGTGGAGTGGATGTTCCAGCCGCAGCATGTGCATCAGCTCGCGCACATGCTCCTGAGGTGTCTGCTTCACTCAGCTACTCCAGTCCAGCAGAGACTTGGACCACATGCCCAGCGGAGCGTCTTCAGCGTCTTCATGCTTCAGCTGCGCCCTGCAGACAGTGCATAGTTTACGCACAAGAGCGTCTCCAGAGTGCGCACAGCTGCTGATATGTCAGAACCAATTTATGGTAAACATCAATGCCATATAAAAGGAGATGCAAACAAGAGAAAAATAATAAATACATCAGAAAATGCTTTGAATAATCTAATAGACGATTTACAGAAACAAAATTAGAAGACGGTGTATGTTGATGATGTTAACATAGCATATGATGTATTTATGAATACCTTGGTAACATTTTGCGAAAACGTGTGCAAAAAAATTATATAAAACGAAATACTGTTGATAAACCATGGATGACAAATGGGTTGAAAAATGCTTGTTTAAAAAAAGAATAATTTGTACTCGTGCTTCTTGAAATTGAAAACAAAAGAAGCAGAAGAAAGATACAAAAAGTATAAAAATAAACTGGTTTGGATCATAAGAAAACATAAGAAGGAATATTATAATCATTTATTAGACAAACGTAATGGTAATATGAGAACAACATGGCAAATAATGAATAGCGTTCTAAAAAATCATGAATCCAAATCAAGTATTCCACAATATTTTGTAAAGGATGGTAATAATATCCATGACCAAAATGTGATTGTAAATGAGTTTAATAATTATTTTGTAAATGTTGGCCCAAGCCTCGCAAACAAAATACCTACAGTAGATACAAACGTGAATCACAAAATTACAAGATGTACTCATAGTATCTTTTTAGAAGGAACTAACAAAGAAGAGGCAATGGATGTTGTAAATGACCTTGCAGATAAAAGATCAAAGGATTGGGTTGACATGGATATGATGTTTGTAAAAAACATAATGAGTTGTGTCATTGAGCCGTTTGTACACATCTGTAATCTGTCATTCAAATCAGGAATATTTCCAATAATATGAAAACAGCCAAAGTGGTTCCACTTTTTAAAAATGGGGATAAACGTGACTTTAATAATTATAGACCAATATCACTGTTGCCACAATTTTCAAAGATTTTGGAGAAATTATTTGGGATCAGATTGGATCGATTCATTGACAAACAAAACACACTAAGTAACAGTTAATATGGATTTAGAAAAAATAATTCCACATCAATGGCACTTGTTTAATTGGTGGAACAAATAACAAATACAGTTGATCAAAAGAAGAGTTGTATTAGTATTTATGTTGATTTAAGGAAGGCATTTGATACTATAGATCATGGAATTCTTCTTCCATCCATCCATCCATTTTCTTCCGCTTATCCGGGGTCGGGTCGCGGGGGTAGCAGCCTAAGTAGGGAGGTCCAGACTTCCCTCTCCCCAGCCACTTGGGCCAGCTCTTCCGGGGGAATCCCGAGGCGTTCTCAGGCCAGCCGAGAAACATAGTCCCTCCAGCGTGTCCTGGGTCTTCCTCTGGGCCTCCTTCTGGTGGGACGTGTCCGGAACACCTCACCAGGGAGGCGTCCAGAAGGCATCCTAAACAGATGCCCAAGCCACCTCAACTGGCTCCTCTCGACGTGGAGAAGCAGTGGCTCTACTCTTGAGTCTCTCCCGAATGATTGAGCTTCTCACCCTATCTCTAAGAGAGAGCCCAGACACCCTGCGGAGAAAACTCATTTCGGCCATTTTGTATCCGAGATCTCATTCTTTCGGTCACAACCCAAAGCTCGTGACCATAGATGAGGGTAGGAACGTAGATCGATCGGTATATTGAGAGCTTCGCCTTTTGACTCAACTCTCTCTTCACCACGACAGACCTGTACAGCGCCTGCTGACGCTGCACCTATCCGCCTATCGATCTCACGCTCCATTTTTCCCTCATTCGTGAACAAGACTCCAAGATACTTAAACTCCTCCACTTGGGGTAGGACCTCCTCCCTGACCCGGAGAGGAGACACTACCCTTTTCCGGCTCAAGACCATGGCCTCGGATTTGGAGGAACTGATCTTCATCCCGGCCGCGTCGCATTCGGCTGCGAACCGCTCCAGCGAAAGCTGTAGATCATGATCTGATGAAGCCAATAAGACCACATCATCTGCAAAAAGCAGAGACGCAATCCTAAGGCCACCAAAACAGATCCCCTCAACACCTTGGCTGCGCCTAGAAATTCTGTCCATAAAAGTTATGAACAGAATCGGTGACAAAGGGCAACCTTGGCGGAGTCCAACTCTCACCGGGAACAAGCCCGACTTATTGTCGGCAATGCGGACCAGGCTCTGACACCGGTCATACAGGGACCTAATAGCCCGTATCAAAGGGCCCAGTACCCCATACTCCCACAGTACCCCCCACAGGGTTCCCCGAGGGACGCGGTCGAACGCCTTCTCCAAGTCCACAAAGCACATGTAGACTGGTTGGGCAAACTCCCACGCACCCTCCAGGACCCTGCTGAGAGTGTAGAGCTGGTCCAGTTTTCCACGGCCAGGACGAAAACTGCACTGCTCCTCCTGAATCCGAGGTTCGACTATCCGACGGACCCTCCTCTCCAGAACCCCCGAGTAGACCTTACCAGGGAGGCTTAAGAGTGTGATTCCCCTGTAGTTGGAACACACTCTACGGTCCCCCTTTTTGAATAGGGGGACCACCACCCCGGTCTGCCAATCCAGGGGAACTTCCCACGATGTCCATGCAATATTGCAGAGTCGCGTAAGCCAACACAACCCTACAACATCCAGAGCCTTAAGGAACTCCGGGCGAATCTCGTCCACCCCTGGGGCCCTGCTACCGAGGAGCTTTTTAACCACCTCGATGACCTCAACACCAGAAATTGGAGGGCCCGACCCAGAGTCCCCAGGCTCCGCTTCCTCAGTGGAAGATGTGCCGGTGGGATTGAGGAGGTCTTCAAAGTATTCCGCCCACCGACCCACAACATCCCGAGTTGAGGTGAGCAGCACACCACTCGCACTATAAACAGTGTTGGTGGCGTACCGCTTCTCCCCCCCCCCCCCCCCCCCCCCCCCCCCCC